TGCGCCCGCGGCCCGTGGCGAAGGCAGGAGCTGACCCGAGGCTCGGCTGTCGGCGCGGCTCTCGGTAAGGCGGGGTGGGTAGGGGAGAGAGGGACTCCGGGGAGGGCGGGCGGGGATTGTGGCAGCCGAGCCTGGACTCTGCGCCCCGGCCGGCGCCTGAGAGGGTCAGGTGCGGCCGCAGCATCTCCTGCCTGAGAACCAGCCCGCGGGGCGCCCAGCGAGCAGGTGGCGCTGCCTAGGGAGGCCGGGGCTGCCCAGATAGGGCTCTGAATCGATTAGAACTCGGTACCTCGAAGTATCTCTTACTCTGCCTCCCAACACACAATTCTAAACCTAGAAAATACCCAAACATCCACACGGAGTGGGCGCGACGCGCCAGCAGTACCGCCTGCCAACCAGGGCAGAAGATCACCCCCAAACTTACCTTCTCACGATCTGGGCTCCGCGCGGGTCACTTTCTTTCCCGGCTTTTCGCTAACCCCCAACCCCCACCCCCGCCCGGTTCCCCTGCCTCCTTAATAACAGGAAGTTAAGTTGGGCCAAATGTCGGTGGCCTGGCCGCCTGCGGGCTGGGACTGGGTCTGGGGCAGTGGCGGTGGCTCAGGGGGCCAAGGCTCTGTCCTTTCTGAGCCTCCCGCCCCTAGCAGCCCACACTCACCCCAAGCTCTGGAGCATCCCTGCCTGGGTGTCCGAGGCTCCTGCCGTGTGGTTGCCGACTGGCCCGGGTAGAAGTGCCTCTGACTTGGCTTTCAGGCCGGGGCAGGTGGGGTTAACTTTATCCTAGGGCAGCCACTCCACAGAGCTGGGAACAGCCTTTGCTGGATGGGGAGGAGGCGTGTTGAAACCAGAGTAAACGTGTGTCTCCTTCTACATTGTTTTTTCTAAAGCCTGGGCTCTTAAAGCCCAAAGAGCTTTTATTTGGAGGTGCGTAAGGCCCTGCTGGAACCTTATGCTGTCAGTCTTGCCTGCACAATACAGTTGGCAGTGGTTTCAGTGAAGGGTGAAGTCACTAACCAGCCCCCTTCTGGGCAGGCTTTGTGGGAAAAAAGCCAGCAGCCTGTTGGCCCTCAGACGTTTGCCTGCCTGGGTGCCCTGGCACCCGGGCCCGGGGGCCAGCTCTATTCCTGTCTCCTTCCCAGGGGAAGTGGACCCAAGTGGGCCTCACGTACCCCAGGCAGCCCCACCCGATGTTATGGAGGTTCTTATTGCAGTAAGAACTCGCTTTCTGGCAGAGAAGACTGATTTAAGTGTCTACTGAGGGACAGGTTCTACCCAGATGCACTTTTGCAGCCAATATCACGGTAACTCTCCACAAACTTTGTTTTGTCCTCTTCATTTTAGAGATGGGGAAACACACTTAGGTGGGGTAAGTGCCCAAGGTCACATAGAAAGTGGCTGAGCCAGGATTTGAACCAGTCTCTGCCAGAGCTAAGCCCTGTATTCTTCCTGCTGCCCCATGGCTGTGGAAAGTGGTGTGCTATGTTGCAGGCTCATGGCCCCACAGTGTGCCCAGTGGAGGCTCCTGGCCTCTGAAAAGTTTCTATCCAAAGATTATGGGGATGCTTCTTGAGCAAAGCACTTGAACCGACCCAGATTAGCCCAAGTAGTTCAACCTGCAGACCCGTTGCCCACCTTGTCCTCCATCAAGGGTGATGGCAGGTGTTGGCCATGTTGTGATGAGTGATTGACTGTTGGTGTTTCAGTGCTATTTGAGGGGGAAGCCTGCCTCTGCCATAGACTCGATCCTACCTCTGAGAGTTGGCTTCTCCATGGTCTAGGAGGACTGTTAGCTGAAATAACCTACCTTAGGACTGGTTCTAGTTTTGTTTTTTGAGGGGCGGGCAGGTATTGAGGTATACTAGCTATGGTTTTAAGGTGATTGAGATCGATAGTTTGAGAGTACATTTATGAAAAAGGAAATCACTGCTTTCTTCCTCCTTCAGGCCCAGGGCTCTGTCTTTCCCCTCATCCTTCTCTTCTAAAAGAAAATCATGATTGGCCTAATACAGACCAGTTACATTTTAGTATAAATCAGTGTAAAGACTAAGGCTGGTTGTAGCTGGCTCATTGGAGGCTTAGTCCCAGGAGCTTCAAGAAGAAAAGGGACACCTCAGTAATCCCTGTCTGCCTAAGACTGGGATGTTTGTCTATTCCCTCTGCCTATGTCTACACCTCCATCTGGTGTGCCTCCCAGTTATGGGACTGCCCCTTTCACTCCCTGCTACGGGAGGGTAGAGGTCCTGCCTTCTTAGGGGAGAGCCTTAACTCTCCAGGGAAGGGTTGGGTATGGGTGCGAGAAGATTTGTTTGGGCTGAACATTGCCAATTTTTTAAGGCCTTCCCAGGGCGAGAGGATCTCTGTTGTTTAGAGAGCCAGTAAAGGGAACACTTCATCATCCTGGGACTTTTCATTCTGTATATCACTTGATTTCCATATTAGCCCTCTGAAGAAATAGATGGGGTTTTTCCCATTTTACTGATGAGGAAACTGAAGCTTGGAAAGATTAAAATTTACCCCCCGTCACACAGCTAGTGGGTGACCAAACTAGGATTCTGGCCTCAGTCTGCAAGAGTGAGGTCTGTGTGGTGAATTAAACACTAAGGAAAGCAGGAAAAACCATATGGCCATCCTCTGAACTCTGGAGGGTTGGTGTGTGCAGTCCCCTGCTGTGTGCAGCCCCCCCATCCTGCCCCCCTGTGCTGACATTTCCCCACCTTACATTATAATTATTTGTGAACTTTATCTCCTTTGCTTTTTATACTAGTCTCCATTAGGTTATCTGCCATGATGTATGGCAGTCCTCTGTTTTAAAATGTCATGAACATTTTCAAACACAAACATAGAATAATATAATGAGCCCCAAATACTCATTATCTAGCTTCAAGAACCAAGATCATGCCAGGCAGGCGTCATCTCTCTCTCTCTCTTTCTCTCTTTTCTTCCCTTCTATTTTCAATTCCTGAATATTTTAAAGCAAATCTCTGATAGCATGTCATTTTGCCCCTGTATCATCCAGCATATTTCTGTTTTAAAAAGAACATTCTTTCATGGCCACATTGCCATTATTGCATGTAACGGAATTAACAGTAATTCTTGGCTCTCATCTCTACATTTTCATATTTCCTTGATTGTCTCAGAAGTGACCATTGTTGGTTTGTTCAAATCAGGATTCAAAGTCTGTATGCTGCATTTGGTTGTTAGTCCTCTTATGCCTACTTTAATCTGGGGCACCCCCCTCCTCCCCACTCCTGCTTTTAAACTGCTGTTACCCTCTGTTTTGAGCCCCCCACTGGACAGCGAACACTTTGATGCTGGAGTCCGCTTCTGTGCTCTGTGGGATCACCAGTGCCATGTCTGGGACAGGGCAGAAGTGCAGTGAGCGCCTGTCCAATGGTGGTGTAGCCACTCAGGAAATGCATTTTGAATGAATGGACCCTGTCGTGGGTTTGTGTGACTGCTCGTGCCTGTGTTTAGATAAGAGGTTTTAAAAAAAGATGACTTGCTCACGTGTGGATGTTTCCTCAGCGAGCGTCAGCCTGTAAACATCCTGAAATAATAGGAGAACTATTTGCTGTGCTCCCTGGCGCTCTGGTTTGCGGTGGGGAGCCCAGGCGGCCGCCGCCGTGGAGCCCTGATCAGCAGCTGGCCTCCCCAGATCACATGTGGGGCTGACAGGGAGTGAGGTCATTTCTGCCCGAGCTCTGGATCCCAATTTATTCAGCTGCAGGAATTACCACGTTAGGAGCCAGACACTTGGCGTTGGGCTGCCCAGAGGATGCTGCCCACCTCTCTCTGGGCAGTGCAAGATTCTTGCCTTGTGCCTTCAGGAGCCTTCTCTAACTGGCTCCACACCTAGTGAGGTGTGGGCTTTTTCTCAAATCATTATTTGTGTGCAACTGACAGATTGTGACAGAGAACAAACACTGATGACCTTTTGGTGTCTGGTCTGAATTTACGGTGAAGAGATAGTATCACCATTGGCACCTTTGTGGGCATCCTAATGAAGGAGACCAGAGGCTCAGAAGGGACGAGACAGTTGTGTTCACTTCCCTGGATAAGGTGCTTCACACCTGGATTCCTTGTCAGATCTCCCTAAGGTGCTGGTTACTCTGATAGCTGCCTTCTGACCCACCCAGCAAAGATCCTTCTCTGCAAAGAGGCCCCAGATGAGGAGGGTTTTTTCTTTTCCTCCTCCTCCTTCTTAAACATAAACAGTCTTTTCCACTAGGCATAAATATAAGAAAATGTTGTCTTTCTCTCTGCATGGCAGGGATAGAGTTAATTTTCCCCTTCTATCTTTTATTTCTCAGTATTTTTCTAAAATTTTTACAATAAAAATATTTTATTTTTCTAATGGAAAATCCAGATATTTGGGATTTTTTTTTCCTTTTAAAAAAAGAGAACTTACTTCAACCAAATCGGATGGGTAGACAAAATTATACATGCATTTGGTACAGCTTTATGTGTGTCTAGGTCACAGAGCCACTGGGATTTTGATATTTGCTTTATTTGTTTTATGACATTCTTTTAAGGAACATACCTGGATGTTTTAAAAGAAAGCAAAGAAAGCTGGGCTTAGGAGATGGGAGGCTATGAAGCCCATGTGGCCTCACCCCTTCTCCCACTCTGTCACCTCCCTTTCCTTCCTGAGAATTTCATTTTGGTTTCCCCAGAATGAAATTGCTCTAATGTTAGGCTCTTGATTTTGACTTTTTCATTCCAGGAGGTTGAGTTATCAGAGGAAGACAGAACAACATAGTGTGTTAAGAAAAAGCAGGCAGGGCAAATCTTCTGGCCCTGATGGCCTATCTTGTCCTCTTGGGAAAGTGTCTGATGGCCAAACACCCCACTCACCTCACTTTGCGGGGCCCTGGCTCCTCCCTCCACCGTTTTCTGTTTTCCTCCCTACATCTTCCCAGAGTTAGAAAGTCTGGCTGGTTGGTGCTGATAAGGCTCCTCCTCTCTCAAGCCCTAATTGTCTGGTCTCAGAAACTCAGAGTTGGTAGGGGTGATGGGGACGTGGGCCCTCTGGTCACAAATCAACTGCCATTGCAGGGTTGGGTCACAGTGGAGTCTGACTTTTGAGATGCTTCCCTTCTCAGCTGTTGAGGAAGTGTCCATCCGTGTGTCCCAGATGAAGGGCGGTTTGTGAATACCAGGTATGGTATTGTTTCTTAAATGCAGTTGCTCTGTACCCGGTCATGCATCTAAATACTACTGCAGTTTGTCTCAGGAAAATCTGTCTTCTCCCAGTGGCTGGCAGGGAGTTATGTGTGTGGATGGTGCCGGCTCTTAGGGTTGGGTTTTTTAGTGTGTTCTGTACTTGAACTGGTGTTTCTCTCCCCTGAGGGTCAGGGTCATCTCCCTGCCCCTCGCCACCCATACCCCACCTCCTCCCAGTGGTGTCCAGATACCTTGCAGCTCTTGTATTCCTTCCAAGGCTTGGTCAGCTTTCTCTTTGGGGAATACAGAGGTCAAGGCAGGCCTGAGAGCAGGGACTTGTTTCCTCCTGCTTTGGGGCTCAGGTTTTTCCCATTCTTGGGCCATGGAGGATGTCTACTGCCGATGTCCTTTCTGCTGGCAGCAAGACAGGATGGCATGGAGTCGGGTGGTGGCCACTGGTCCCTTAGCTGCCACATCAGCAGGTTTATGGGATGTTTGCAGGCCCCAGCTTTTGACACACCCAGTCCAGAAGCCCAGCCAGAGACTGGAGTGGCAGCCTAAGAACATCTTGTCCTGCACCGTAATATCAATGTGTTAAGATGCGGAAACTACTTCTTGGCTCTGGTGACTCTGAATGGCTGGCCTTGCTACTGATCTGACTACTGACAGTGTCTGGTAAAGATTTGCAGGATCTCAGGGTTTAACCTGTGCCAGAGGCCA